CATAGGGTTAATTGCAAGAGATTGTATTGATTGTAATGTGATTGTGTTTCCTCACACCAAATGATTAGGGATGGCATGGCCCCTGGGTAAGTGATGCTACAGGGAGGGCATGACCCTGGTCTGGTGTGGGTTGAGTGAGGCAATTAACCCGTATCACTTGTGTCAGATGTGGCGAGGTCTTGGCATAGTGTTAATTGTTGAGATTGGCATGAATTATTGATGTGGAAATGATGTTGAGATTGGCATGAATTATTGATGTGGAAATGATGTTGAGATTGACATGAGTTATGAATGGTGAAATAATGGTTTTAATGATGTGAATGAGAAAAGGTATAAATGATTTTGTTAATTATAAAATCTAAGTGGATTGTGATGGATTGATAAATTATGATACATGCTCGTAAATATTTTATTAAATAAAGAAAATATGATGAGATTTTAACATGGTGTGTTTGGATGTACTTTGCATATAGATATCTTCTTTTCTCACCGTATAAATTGTGGATATTTTAGGTGGAGAGGATCCGGCTGCAAGTGGCATATAGGATGCCAACAGTTTTATTTTGGGAAATGCTCTGATATTGTGACATCGGGGCAAAGGATTTTTAGGAGCGAAATATTCGTGTGAATTTGGTACTGTAATATTATTTTAAAAACAATTTGTAAAAACTCTTGTGTGTTATGTGTTATATTTCTGCTAACGTGGTTGTTCGAAGTTTCTCATGTGAACCCTTTTACTGTAATAAGAAAGATTTATTACAATATATGTGTTAGGATAGTAAGGGTGTCACACCAATACTCTCTAATTTATAACTTTCTTTATTATTTTATTTAATTAATTCGTTATAAACTTAATTAATTAACTAATCAAGCTTATAATATAACTTTTCTATCAAAGGGAACTTAAGGAAAAAAAATCAGGATGTTACATTTTTTAATGTGGTTATTGATGTGACGGCCTAGGGTGGGTCGTTACAAAGTAACCCTAGTAAAAGGTCCAAAGTATAACGGATAGATCTATCTCTTTATGATTTAATTAAAAGATACATACATATATTAAGAACAAGAAGAGAAAAAAAAATACAAAAGAAAGGTGTGAGAACATTTATCAAATAATAAAATTAATTAATTTAGAATATATATATATATATATATATATTATATATATATATATATATATATTTGCATATCATTATTAATCAAAAATTTAGATTTTTACTCCATGGAGGGGTTTGAATTGTTTTTGTAGTGACTAGTCGAGATAAATGAACTTAATTATGGTATCAAATAAAACAAGGATATTTTACCTTAAATATTAATTTACTCATTTAAATCTCCAAGGTTAAACTTTCAACTACAAATTAATTCAAGTCCATTGATAATTTATTATAAGAAATTAAAATTTACATTTACTAATATTTAAATATATATATATATATACACTTTATATAATCAATTTTTTTAAATTTAAAATAATTTTATTACTTATATTTTATATTATTAAATATTTAAGATTTAACAATTTAAATATTTATACTTCGTAATAATAATGTAATTAAATATTACTCTAAAGAATATTATAAATGGAATTTTTAAAATTGTATAATATAATTAAATATTATATATTTCCATTTTAGTTTATGAGAAATATTGTAATAAAAATTTTAAAGTATTACAATTATATAAAAATATTGTGCTTAATCTCTATTTAGTTTAAAATATGTCAACTAAAAATTTATATTATTATTTTAAAAATAAACATTGTTATAGAAATTTGGAATGTTACATATTGCCTGTCAGGCATTAGCTAAAGTACGATCATTCGTCTCTGCTCTAACTTTTCTAATTAATAAAAAATTATATAATAACTCAATACACTCAACATAAAACATACAAGTTCAAAGTACATACAAAACATGATAAACACATAACACATTATTTAGATGAATCGATTTGCTCTAGTGCTACTAAATGTCACACCCTTTAACCCTAAATAATTAAATAAAGAATTTAGTAAATAATAAATTTAATAGATCAACTAATTTATATAATAGTAATTTCTTATAAATCTATGATTAGTAAAAAGGTTCATACACTTTACAACAACTTTATTAAATCAAGGGGAACATAACAAAATAATGTGTGAAATTAAAATAAAACACAAATCGCCTTATTGAACAAAACTCCAACATAAAATATAAGGAAACAAAACTTAAATAATTTCAATTGAAATAATAAAACTATAATCTCCGTATGATGTCACACTAATATAAAGGTATGATGTAACTTAATCTCACTAATTATTAATAATAAATAACTAATAAGCATGGTAGATTCGTAACTTTGTACTTTAGACATGACCAAGAGTTTAATCCTTTATTTGTGAGTATAAAAATATATTTGTCTCTTTAATAATTTGAGTCGTTATATATTAGTCGAGTAGAATTGAGCTAAAAAAATTTCATTAAAAATTTTGTGTGAAAATTTTCAATAAAAATTAGTTATAAAAAAGTTAAAATACTTTATTCTCTTTACATAAATTTACCAATTTATTTATTACAGATCTAGTTTAGTATAATAAATATATATATAATGCATCT